TCATGAGTAGGCCACACGCATCCCATAGCCATGCCCACTCAGCAACCGGGGAGCTAAAACTTTTCAACACCACCACCCCCCGCCCACATCTTCTTGGTGTGCAGAAACCCTGAACGCAGATATGCCATAATAAAAGTTAAAGATTGGTGCAATTAATTGTGTGAAGCCCACTGTTGCCGCATTGTGGATGCATTTGTTTCAGACTAACCTGTGGCCTTTTTTCTTCTCTCCCTCTCTTCTGTTCTCAACTCCAAGTCACCTCAGAACTTAAGTCCCTCATTTAGAACCCGAGCCAAACCCGAAGGGAAGCTTATTATTCATAATGATTTAAACGGTGCCAGCTTAGTTCCTTGTTCAAAACTTTTTGATGTCTTTCCCCTCTTGTTTAAATTGCTCACACTGGTCTCCAGGGACGTCACCCTACAGCCGTGATTCATTAGCCGCGTAAACTTTGCAAAATCTCTTTCCTTTGCAAATAGATTGTCATTGGTGGAGGATTCATGACATTAATTCAGAAAAAAATAAGTGGAGGGGGGCCTTCAAAACATCATCATCTTGGGGGAAAGAGTGAAAATTGAAGGCATGTACCATCTGAGGCAATGGATCACCCTATTATAACTGCTAATTTACATTTGAAAGATCTAATGGATCAGTCTTTAGGCACAGCACTGATTATAATTCCTCCCTGCCAATTAAATCAACCCGGTATGAAATCCTCCATGCACTTACCTGGCAGCAAATCCCATTCCATTCCATTTGATTTACTTCTGAATAGAGGTGCATAACGTTCAACCTTACTTTAGAAACGCTGGCAGAGACCAGCAGAATTTTTAAAAATAAAATAAAATAACATCTCTCCAAGACAGTCTTCCCCGTCTCACAGAGAGGCAAGCCCAGAAAGTTTGAATTTCTCAATCTTGGAGACTCCCATACAATCCCCCATATTCTATCCGAAAGGCTTCCCCATTACAATTGCTTTAGCCACGATCATGGTTAGTCACAGGAAACACAGACGACAGGAAGCACATGGATATGAAGCACATGAGATGGTTGGGAAAGAAAAGATGGGCCTTTATTTTTTTCATGTGGTTTGGTTTTACAATGGTTTGGTTTGGAGCCCCTTTGGGAAACCTGCAAGGTGATTACATGGGCTGTGATGTTTTAAATTGTCGTGGGAATGAGGAGTCCCGATTAACTTGTAAGGATGAGTTAACACTCGTGATGTTCTTTAGTTTACATAAAGAGATTCGCTGTAGCAAAAAAAAAAGCAGTTTTGCCCTAGGAGAATCAAGGCAGGAGCGAGAACTGAACCACTGGAGCTAAACAAAAATCAGTAATGGGAGTCAGCTGGGCTTCATAAGAAAAGCCTTTGTAAACCTGATTTAGTTCCATTTAAAGAGAAATAAAATGCAGCCAAATTAAATATGATGCCTCAGAATAGAAGGTGGCCAATGTTTAGAAATATGGACACTGAATGCTTGCTCATTCAGGTCTTTTTTCTGTTTTGTTTAAAGAACAGAATCTTTGCCTATTGCAGACTATATTTCAAAAATCCAAATTTCCCTGATAGGATTTCAGATTGTATGTTGGTGGCCTATATAATCAACTCTGATTTCAGTAGGCCTAGTGGTTCACCTTCTCATATTTTGTAAAGATATCGCAGAGGAAAAGGATATGTCATGACCACTGGATGGTTTACACTGTTTAATTAGGACATATCTGGTACTATAAACATGGGGACGTTGAAGACAGAAAGATTTCTTGCCTCCTAGCATGATTTATTTATTTATTTCATTCAGTAAATCTGGAGATCTCTCATTAAATTTGCCTTGCATTCTCCTTATATTACCTATCTTCAGGATTGTATCAAAGATTATCATGGAAGCCTTCTTTGTAAATGGGGGTGGTTTTTTTTTTGGAGGAGCTTCTACAAGGATAACGATGCATCTACAAGAATTGTTTATTGGATGGTGACTCGATCATTGTCACCTTCGTATAATAAATCCACAAATGTTACAATTCTATGTTACCAAAAATTTTTTATATATTCTTCTGGTTTCTGGACCATACAAAGGCTGTTGTCTTTCCTCTCTTTCTCCCCTTGGTTTTCCTTTATTTTCCTATTTCCATCTTGTCATATAAAAAGAAAGTAAAATTACTTACATGTGTCTGGTTTATGGCAGTTGTGGCCCTGTCGGAAGTACTGTGGGTTTTCGATGACAGGAATCCGGGTCATACCAATCACCACCGTGTCTGGGCCAGTGTCCAGCGATGAAGGTGTGGTGATGCCGTGGTTGATGTGATGAAGTGGGCTAGCAGAATCCTCTTCTCCACTGATTACAGCCACAGGACCTAAAACCAAAGAGATACATCATCATTATCATCACCACCACCGCCATCATCATCATCATCATGATCCAAACATTTTTCCTGCAGGTGTAGGGTCCACTTTTCAGATCAACAACAACCATCTTCTTGTGTGGTTCAGCATCTGGGGTTTAACTGGGGATTTTACATGTCTGCCTTTATTTTTCCTTGGCAACTTTGCCAAACAAAGAGATACATAAGAATACAGAAAATGGTTTTCTATCTAGTCCAGGATTGTCAGCACTGATGGAGACTGTCTCTCCAAGGTCTCTGATAAAACCTGTCATTTTTGTATGCAAGGCATAATTCTGCCCTTGCAGTCATGAAAAATGATACCGGTAAAAAAAGCACTCTCATTCCATAGTTAACTATTTGTATAACTATATTAACGTTTTGGGATCAGATCGGAATGGAATGTTTGGAATGTTTATTTAATTTGTACTATAGATGTGACATTCCTTATGGACTCTGCATTCAGTTAATGAATTTCCCCAACTTGATATACAATTCCAAGTTTCTTGCAAGAAGCACTTACTTTCTATGGATTTCTCACCCTTTGATCCACGTAATAGTTATTACCTGCAAAGCAAATTTCTTATTATTATGACTAGACTATGAGGCCCCTACTACAGCAGTGATAGTATNGGGTCTGTGGGAGGTAATTGGCAGAAGGCGGTCTCTCAAGTACCCAGGTCCAATACCATGAAGGCCATGCAAACCCATGCTTTCTCTCAAGGCAAAGCCTTGCTGACATCACTAATCTTACATTAAATTTCCCAGTGAGTGCACTAGACACAGCATTTTTTTTTTGAATTAAAGGAAGGAGCCTTCCCCATTGAAGAATCACATCACATCTACGATATGAAATTCTGCCCTTTATCCACCCCAAACGCCCACAAAAACTGCTTCCTTCCTCAGTCAAGAGAGTCTCCATTGACTTTCCAAATTGCATCTTTAAGTTGCCCAGCATCCAGAGGTCCCTTACCTTCATTGAAAACAAAATCAGAGCTGATGTCAAATGGCTGGAGGCGGACCTCTGACAGCAAGAGAACAACCGATTTTTGGTGGTCACCGGAGCTTAAGGTGATTGTCTGCTGAGCTTGACAGTCATAAGACTTCCCAGCTGGGGTGACTAAAGCAGAGAGGTGATGTGTTGTGACTGTGTGTTTCCCCGCTGTCAAGAGGAAAATATTGTTATTACATGACTATTGTAATTTTTTTTTCTAGACCAATGACTATTTAATTCACCATTCCATGACCAACTGCATTTAATCTATTTTATAAATATCTTCTCTACATTGTGAGGTTTCAATAGCATCAACATTAAAAAGACTTTTGTCTAATGTCCAAAGAACAAATTGATCAAAAAATCCTTTTCCTTTGTTAAGAGACCAAAAAATGTGGACAATGAATATCAACACTGTCTGTAAATATGCAGTTTGTATTTTTGTATGTTTTTAGCCTTTTTTCTCCCTCTTTTAGCCTTTTTTCACTTTTTTCTTTTCATTTTGTGTATTCTTTTTAAAATATATATACTTACTTAATATGAAAAGTCTATTTTTACAAATCAGATAAAGATTAACATTAAGAATTTGCCTAGTCTTCCGTGTTTGCAGGAAAGAAAAATCGTTTCTCTAATATATTTAGAGATGTTAATATGTGCTCTTACAAATTAGCCTGAAATTCTAATAGACAGATATTGGAAGGAACTGGACAGCAAGAGAGAGGTGAACAATATGCAGATGAACAGACATATGTTCTCTCATACATGTCAGGAAACATTCATTTCTGTTGTACATGATTAGAAGCATAAAACCTTAATTTCTGTTTTGGTGACATTCCTCCAGTCCTTGTATTCAAAACTACATAGCACAATGCGATGAAAATCATTAAATGCACAAGCAAAAGATGCTTTATTTCCCATTAGGATCCTAAAATGATGCTCACAGTTCAACACCTAATGGCTTATGCTGATGACAGCAGCTATGATGATCCCACAAGGAATAGCAAGTCCTAACTAGAAATTCAGCATTACCAGCAGTGCTATTATTAGCTTTCTATGACTAGATCCAGCTTGGGGAAAAAACCACGCCACCCTTTTGCAGATAACATTCCCAGGGAATCACACTCCACCAGTCATGTAGAGTCACATGTAACCCCTTCAGAGCCACATCACAAATGGGTCCTGAGTGACTGGATGACACAAAGTACTGCTGATGGAGCATAAAATGGGCCTAAAAAAAAAATCCAGATGACGAGTCCTATTGGAATGACCTCTGGACATTGCAGATCGCAACTCACAACTCGTCAGACGTATATGCTTGTGGGGATGAATGGAATTGTAGAATGATTCATCAGAAGGGGAAACATTCATGAAGGTCTGTATTGTCCACAATCCTCTCACAAAAAAATATCAACTTTCCAAAGTATAGGAAAAATGGACCGAGTGGACAAATAAGCACACTGCAAACATTTAAGACTGAAAATGGTGTGTATGTGTGTTTTTGTGTAAATTTTCAAAATATAAACAACCCGCATGATGAAAAAAAAATGAGAAAATCTTAATAAATAAGGTGGGAATCAGAAAGAGTAAAACAAAATATCCTGGTTTTGTTAAAATGGACTGCACCTGTACAACCACTCATCTAACAATTCATTCAACAGAATTTATTTTGGAATACAGATGTAAAGAATTACACTGAACAGCTTAAAAAGATCCTGATTTCTCTAGCCTATCCAGTCTGGCTAAGCTATACATTCACAAATAATGACCAATACTACTGCGTTATATGTGAAAGAGATGGTGTACTTCAAGCCACATGGAAAAAATACCAAAGCATTTTGTATACATTATTTTTAATTTAAAATAGACTTTTCTTCCTAATTAATACTTAGAAATAAGCAAAGATGTAATGATCCAAATTACTCAGGAACAGATAAAATACAGATGTGTATGCCTTGGGCATGCTTCAATGCAGCAATGGCGGGGGGGGACATACCCTAGAACATTCTGCACTGCAGGGGTACCCAGTGACAAACAGAAACACCAAGAGGAAGCCCATAAGAAAGAAACACAAAGAAATGCAATGGTAACACTGACCATTAATAGAAGCCACCCAAATAGATAGAAAGCAGTCATATTTTAGAGCACAGCAAGTTATATTTGAGATGTGCAGCATCTACTAACCGTTCTCTATGTCAGATTACTTGAATTTTCAACTCCCCCCTCCCCAAAAAAGAGGATTACCAACTCCAAAATCCAAGTAAAGGCAACCATGAAATAAAATCAAGTTATTCTAATTGCCCTTCAGGGAATTACATGAAACTCCCTCTATAACTGTCCAAACCCAACACTGCACTAAAAAGTGCTGGGCCCAAGATTACAGTACAGAATGCTTCCTTCATTACAAATGGGTTTACAGTATAATAATCAGAAATGATTTACAGATGCTATCTCCTAACAAGCAGAATAACTGTTATATCATTTGGGCAAAGAGTTTTTTTTTAACTTTAGCTAAATAAACCTTGTCCAGGTTTTTTTTTAAGGTTTTGTTTTAGTTCTGATTTATAAATGATTAGAAATGAAAAAGGTGCAGTCCTGTTTTCCTCCTAAGAATGGATTGATTTTATTCTTTTACAATTCTGGAGGTTTTCTTCAATAGAAAAGGGGCTCTCTAATATTTTATATTGATTTAATTGTTTGCTTCCATTTTAATATGTCAAAAGAGCAATGCCCGGGCATCGAAGCCTGCGGTAACACTGTTTTTATATGAACTATAACTCCCATCAGCTTCATTTTAATCTAAGCAGGACTTACTATCGGTAGTATGGGAGCTTGTTTTGCTCGGAATCCAGGCTAATGGTCGGGCCAGGCATCAGTTTGTTCCAAAGGCGCACAAATCTGCGCCTGGCCTGGGGGCCGTATAGTATGGTTGGTTGGTAGCAAAGATGCCCTTCTTTTTGGAAAAGTTCAAGGCCAACCGCAGATTCTTAAAACCGGCCGGCGACTTTGGAAAAGCCCAAAAGGCCAAGCCGGAGCCCGGTTCAGGCGAGATCATTGCTATTGCTATTGCTATTGCCCCACCAGCTCAGCCAAGAAGAGAATCCAGGCCCCAGTCGGCTGATCCTGATAGAGAAGGGGGATCTGGGGTGAAGGAGGAGGAGCCGTCGGGGAAACGTGGGCGCCCGCTTTATCCGCACTGCGGGCCGGGGAGGCGGCGGCGGCTTCAGGCCTGAGCAGACGCGTTTGGAGAGGAAAACGGTGAGGGGGACCGGCTGGAAATGATTCAGGCTCCCTCCCGCCGCCGCAGCAGCGCTTGCAGAGACTTCGAGGTTTGCAAACAATGAGTTCCGAAGTCGCTCGTGAACTGCAAGGCCTGGGCGGCTCTTTCGCTCTCGCTCTCTCTACTTTGGCCGCCTCTGCTTCACCTTTCCACGGTCCTCGGGTCGGAACGAGAGCGCCAGGTTTTTCTAACGGGCCACCCCTACCACCAACTACCTCTTATCCTTCTCTCCCCCAGCCGCCACCCAGACCCTCAGGCCTGAGGGCTTTGGCCGCGCCATACTTACGGTTCACGGCGCCTTTGAAGTAGGTGCTCTCGCTGCTATCGTAAACGAACTGGACTTTGCTCATTTTCCACCAGGCCTCGGGGCCAGAGCTTTTGTTACGAGTCTCCTGTCGAGAGGGGCAAAGAAAAGAGCCAAAGTCGAGGCAGGGCAAAGGAAGCCTCGCCGCCAGCCAGCCCGCCCGGCCTGGCCAAGCGGACATTTATTTGCCCGTCTCCCTCTCGTAGCTTTCTGTGCTCGGCCGCCCTCCCGGGAGATTCCCCGGAGCAGAAGGAAGGAGGTTGACTTGATCCGTCGGTTGCCTTCTTCGGCGCCCTTTGGCGACGGTGTACGGTCGAATAATGATGATGATAATAATGATGATGATAGTGATAAATAATAATAATATCCTCCGAGGTTACTTAACAGTTCCTACGTCCATGGTTAGGACTCGAGCGGTTGAGCTACCAACCAGCCCCAAAGGCTATGAATCTCACCAAAGATTTAATAATGATAATAATAATAATAATAGCAGCAACAACAATAATAATAATTTATATTTTAAGAAGGTACTTGGTTGATACCTAGGATG